GAAGTTAAGATGTATAACCTTATAGAACTCATGAACCAACTCTTGTGCGTTTTTTCTTATAAGATATATTACGTCAGAATCATATAAAGTAAGTGACGCTGAACCGGTAATATCTTCAACTACAATGGTGATTTTAAAACTCAAAGCATTGATGTAAACATATTTAGTAATATAAATTTATATAATTTAACAGAACAATATAATAATATTTATAAAATAAGTTTCAAAACCTGGGAACAACATAAATAACTTTGTTTATGCAGCTTGAAGTGTTACAATAAAAAACTTCTTTATCTTGAGACTGATCTTGATGGATTAAAATTTGTTTCACAACTTTTTGTTGACATCTAATACAAGTAAAACAGTACCATTCCCCTTCAGCACATAGTTGCTTAATCGTACCGACAACAATTAAAATTTTTTCCTAAAAAATGTTAATGGAAGTTTAAATTTTAGTATAAAATAATAATAATCAAGGAATAAGATATAAATAATAGAAAACCAATTTCTAAAAAATTATATATTGTAAATGAAAGTGATGTATATATACCCGATGTACTTGTTTGAGATCAGCAATACTTTTGAAATCAAAATTATGAAGGAAATCTTCATTTTCGGAGTAGATGATCGATGACGAAGAGTTGCTACAATTAACAATTGTGGTTAGAGCCATTTATCGGGACAAAAAACAAATATTGTTTGAAATTATATATATATATATATATATATATATATATATATATATATAATATATATATATATATATATATATATATATATATATATATATATATAAACCCGAATCTAAGATTGCAAAATTACAAAGTTTAACAACAGTTTGAAAGACGTCAATTTAAAAAAAATAGAATTCAAAAGACACTGATTTAAAATTTAAAAACAAACTACACATATAAATATTTATATTTAATATGATATTAATGAATTAAACTTAAAAACGAAAATAACTTGACATTATGAACCCTAGATATTTTAGGAACGATGTTATTTATAACTTAAAAGTTACAATCTGATTGAAAATCTATAATACACAGAGTATAAATCGAAGACGGTGAAGACAGAGTATTGAAAAGAATAAAGTACTTGATCTTGAAGATGATCTTGAAGATGTAATTTTGAAGAGAAAAGAAGACGTGGAAAATAACAGAAGAAATTGGTGAAGATGACGGCAACAATAGAGGACGGAGGTTCAGATAGTAGTATGAACGGATGAACGGGTGCCAGTGAGGGACTCAGAGAATCAACATCAACAACAGGTGCAAGGTTAAGAAGATGGTGAAATCGGATACTTGGGAATATCAACCGAGAGGGATTACTGAGGTATATTGTAAACAATAAAAATGATAAGTTTTTGTCCCTAATATATTATATTTAACACTTTGCAAATTGAATTATAGCTTGATCTGAATATGGAAAGACTGAACATGGCTACAGATGACTTGCTTATTAAGCTTGCAAAAACCTTAAGAAAGCCAAAACTGCAGACTGTGTTTCTCATCAACCATTGGTTTCCACGATGAATAAGATCTTTTACATGACGCTCAAACAATACAAACGAAGAAGAGCCACTTTCATCTTGCACACGAACTACTATCCTAATCCTAAAAATTACACCATAATACTTATATTTAGCTTGACGTACACAATGAAATATATGAAAAATGTAAAATACATGCATAGTCAAAGAGATAATAATTACTTACTTTCCAAATACATCCGAGACAAATGCACAACCATCATAGTGAAAAGGGCTAGCATCAACATCATCATCATTTTTAGTAATTTTTTTAGAACAATCACGACAATAAAATGAATACCAACCATCATCCATATCAAAACCAATGATAGTAGCGATAATGGTTAAACCAACTTTCTGTTTCATATATAGGAAAAAAAAGGAAACATATTAAAGTATTATTTCATATAAATTGTAGATATAAAATCAAAACAATAATAGAATGCGGAAACTGTTATATAAAAATGTTAAGTAAACCTCATTAAAATCAGGAATTTCATCAATGTTTTTTATCTGAAAACGGAGGTAGTAATCCTCTGGATTAGCCATAACGGTATCTGAGTTGAGCTGGGATGTACGGCTAGAAGACTCAACATTCGTATCCAAAGCATTAAGACTACATAAACAAAAAAGTGAGGTTATTCAACATAAGTAATGATTTAGTAAGATAAATGTGTTAAAAATGGTAAATAACATACTTTGATTTGAAGTCCAAAATCTGAGGCATATCATCATTTATATGCAATCTAGACCCAAACAAACAATTACCAACTTGAGGTTGACCTGGAAGAAAAAAGTAAAATAATATTGTCAGTAATTACTTTGAAGTTGAAATGATAATTTGTTGTAAAAAACACCTACCACCCCAAATTTTGAGTTTCGTCAAACGTTGCAGGATAATAATAGGAGCAGTGTATTTATTATGTGGTGAAATGTAAGTATTCAGCTTCATTGCAAAACTGCCCCACAAAGCGACTGCAATTCTCGTACCACTAAATATGCATGGTGGTTATTAATGAAAAGATAAATATAAACGGGAGAATGTGTAATAATAATACGAATGTGTACCTTAAATCTTGAGCAACCAGATTCATTAACCTCTTTTCTCTTCCATACTCAACAATGACTCGCATGGGATTAGTTGACACAACTTCACCTAGAAAATCTATGTGAAAAAATTTAATAAATTAGTAATAATAATCCAAATGTGTATTACATTAAAAATTGAAGTATAGAAATAAGTTAAACTAACAACATAACATACCAAATGCAACACGAGTGTCAAAGTTCCTGGCTAGCAAATATGGGAAAGAGATAAAATGATAAGGATCTACTGTATCAAAAAAAATCATTGGATACACGAACTTTTGTGGTTTTGTAGAAATTGATTTTATGTTTATGAGGGACAAGCATGTATTCGCTTTCATTGCTAGCCATAGCGAAGTTACTGATCTCCCGGACAGCTCCTTCATCGAATAGGGATTCAAATACAGGAATAAGATTTTTTTTATTGTTGCTTGAATTCTACTTCCCTGTAGGTGACAATGAAAGATAAAAAAATGTAAAAAAAATATTAAAAAAAAGGAACAATAAGAGATTTCATTACATAGACTAAAGTTTATTTTAAAAAATAATACAGTTGATTATTAAAATTGTATGAATAGAAGTAAAAAAGCATACAAAAATTGAATTTAAATTTTTTTGAATAGAGATAACATAAGAAATTGATAATCTAAAAAACAAATGGTGTAAAAACAGTACCTCCTGGTCAATTAAAATCATGTCCAGGCTTGCAACCATATTAGGATTGTTTATATAGGTCGGCTTTCAAAACATGACGACTTTAACATGTATGTTCCAAGACTCTTTAGATGCGTTGATTTCAGCAACCTTATCAAAGATGACCTGATCTGCATTGTCAGATGCCATGGAATACTATTATCTGCAATGGAAGGGGATACTTGGTTAGAGAGAATTTTGATTTGTAATGAAAAATCGTAGACAGTATATTTATAGGGAAAAATAAATTTGGTTAATGCTGATATCACATAAAGATTTTGGAATGTAATATCATTTCCATACTTAAGATATGTTTTAATTATGGTATGATCTCCAAAATAATATCAATATACCTTATCTACTATAAGTACAAAAATAAATAAAATCATACCATATTTAAGATAATATTTACCATATTCAAAACTGTAAATTTGAAAAGTTTGTAGAATAAGGAAATTATATAATAAATATACAATATTTTCATAAATTTGGTATGATATCGAAAATAATATCAATATAAGATGGTTAATATATTTTAAGAAAATATAGGAAAATATAAATTTGGTTAACGCTGATATGACACAAAGATTCTGGAATGTAATATCATTTCCATAGTTAAAAGATGTTGTATATACGGTATGATATCCAAAATAATATCAGTATAACATATCAAATATAAGTAGAAATAGATAAAATCATACTATCTTTTAAAATATAATAATTACCATATAAAAAACTGTAAATTTGAAAAGCTTGTAGAATAAGGAAAAATAAATAAAATCATACCATATTTAAAATAATATTTACCATATTAAAAACTGTAAATTTGAAAAACTTGTAGAATAAGAAATTATATAATAAATATTCAATATTTTCATAAATATGGTTGATATCGAAATTAAACATCTTATATAAGATGTTTAATATATTTACAAAATGTAGAAAAATATAAATTTGGTTAAATGCTGATATGACATAAAGATTCTGGAATGTAATCATATTTAAAAATTACGTATTTATAAATTTAAAAAAATAGATGGTAAAGTGTTAATAGACCATACATAACAGTTATAAATATTGAGACTCTTTGACATGTAAATTTGAAAAGCTTGTAGAATAAGGAAAAAAATATAATAAATATATAATATTTTAATAAACTTCGACAAAATTACTAAAATGCCCCTGATCGATTAAGTGCTTACAACATCTTAAATTATCATATTGAATAGAATAAATGAATCTAACGCAACAATAATAGTATAGTGTAATCATATTTAATACATTACGTATTTATAAATTTAAAAACATGGATGGTAAAGTGTTGATAGACTATACATAACAGTTATAAATATTGAGACTATTTGACATGTGTAATCTAATTTATCTTTTAAATATTGAGACTCTTTGCCCGAATATTCACATGTAGCCTCCTGCCTTCTTTATGGTAACAATTTGATTTCTAAATTGCTCTGTATGGATAAAGTGTTGTATACATGAACAATAAACATGTCTTTGAAAACATTTGAGAAAGAGGCATAGTTAATTTATTACATCATACAAGTTGAGGTTGTAACCACATTGTAGAAACTACGTACAAATACGTACATGAAAGATTAGACTGCAGTGATGATGTGAGCAACTGTACTCCACAGTGTTCCTGAATCCAAGGAAATTAATCTATCTAGAGTTATGATTTGTTTGATTGAAAATGGATTTGGAAAAACACAAAAGGGTGTTTGACTTTGGATTAACCTGTTCTTATTGTGTTGTTGTGATCATTGGTGGCAGAAACTCCATGGATGAGTTCTTGTTCAACTGTTACTTATATGATATATATCGAAATCAAAATCAACATGGAGTAAAACTGAAACCCAAACACAAAAAGAGGAGAAGAAATTGAAGATCAAACGGAGCAAACCAGTGAGCTTTAAAGAAGATAACCCCAATACAAGAAAATGATGGTTCCAAATACGATGTTTTTATAGAAAAAATAGCATATCTGTAAAAATTAAACCAACAAAACCAATGAAATATTCAATATACGACATACCCTTCTTCTTTTTCATTCTCCACATTGGGATCCACCTCCTAAAAACAAAACGTTAAAGGGCACATGAATAGCAACCTACTTTAAGCCCATTAATTCTCATTTTTATGCAACGTACTTTCTTTATGAAATTCATTTCATGCAACGTGGTTTCATCATTTTGTAATTTAGAAAAATGATAGGTGTTGGAGATGAGGTGGGGGAGGATGCAATTCTTGGAACGATTGAGGGTATGAAGGATGTGATTGAAAAAGTCAACAAACAATTCAAAGATCCGGTAAAAATTCAAAAAAGTCAACCGACAATTGAAAATCAAAATGTTTGACCTTTTTTTGTGATAAGATTTGACAACTTTTGTTTGTGTATGCATCCCTGAATTTCTGTCGTTATATGAGACAGAGAGATTGGTTGAGGAACTTACTAAATTTGAGATATTATTATTAATCAAGTGCTTTTTGATGAAGAAGGTACATAATGTTTAATTTTTATTTTGGGTAATAAGTCTTATTTTTAGGGTGTGTTGTTAATTGTACCTTTTTCTAATCATATTGCAGGTGTTGAATCCAGGTTGCTCAAAGCTAGAATGAAAATGCAAGGAAAATACCTGGATCAGTTCTACATGTTATATGATGAAAGTCCAAAGTGAAATGAAGTTTTACCAGTGATAAATTAGGAATAAAATTTTAAAAGGGGGATGGGAGAACATTATCTCTCAAACCCTCAACAACATAATACTAAAGATATATATATGCACCTAACCTTGAGATTTTTATTCCGCCAACGTTCTTTGGGGGTAACATCTTCCGGTTTTGACTTTAAGGTATAATAAAATTCAGACCTGAAATAACATGTCACAAGTTGGTACCTCAAAACGATAAAGTTAATTAAAAGAAAAACAGTAAACTGACACTAACTGGTGAATTTAAAAAAAAAAGGTTTGGTGAAGTTGCAAACTAACATGGGGATTCTCAATTCGGCATTTCTGGAGCTCCTCTTGTGCACCTGCGATCCTCCATTGTAAATAAGTTATTTCATTAAGTAAATCCTTTTCCCTTTGAAGAGTATTTGTCCCTAAGTACTACTCTGTTACTTGCATTCTAACAAAAATACAAAATAAGTAATTAGCATCCCAGGTTGGAAACTTTCGTTTAGCAAAGTGACCAATACACCCTTCAAAATAATGGTTGTGGACCCCTCAATAGGCAAGTCACAAGTGAAATCCTTTAGGTGCTACTCTTTTATTACTAAAATTCTAACAAAATGAGTAGTATATTCTGTTCTGGGATATTTCTAGGCAAATGATAATTCAACAAATTTTCTGTAAGCAAAATGACTGATCTGCCCTTGAAAAATAATTGTTTTTGAAGAAAGTGAGAATAAGCAAAACCTGGATAATAAGGCCGAGGCCAAGAAGGAGAGTGAAATTCTTCTTGAGAAAATCGACATCTTTCTTTACAACTTGTACGAAATGCCCAAAGCTTTTCCCAAATAGAGAAAAGAACATTCTTCTAGGTTTTCATAAGTCAAAAAGAAAAAAACCCTAATAAGTATTGTCTCTATTAAATCCATTAAATAAAAAAGATACAATATTTGAATTTTCAATACCTTGAGACAAAATCGAGAAGATACATCTTGATCAAATACTCCCAATGCAATGACAGGAAGCGATGTGAAGAAGACATTGTAAAGAGACAAATACCAATCATTATACGCAGGTTGAGCTGAGAATGATGCATAAGCTTCATACAAGAAAATCGTGGTTCCAAATACGATGCTTTTATAGAAAAAATAGCATATTTGCAAAAATTAAACCAACAAAATCAATCAAATATTCAATATACGACATACCCTTGTGCATCAAATTTGGGATTTTTTTTACAGAATTCTTAACATAACCGCTTGCATTACCTCAACTCCACTGATTCCGATGTCGGCTTCTTGAATCATTCCGACATCGTTAGCTCCATCGCCGATTGCTAATGTCGTCTTTCGGGTTCCCTGTTTAACAAGTCGTGTAACCAATGCCTTTTGTTTTGGTAATGAACGACAAATGGTCGACGCGGAGAGTTGCTGGGGAATCGGGAACGATGGGGTTATGCATATCGGCAGCAGGAAGGAGAAGGAAGGGGTTAGGGTTCATATGTATTGAGTTTGAGGGGAGCTGATTGTGTTGATTGTTTAGAGAGAAAACAAAAGAACAAAGGAAAGAATCGTAAGAAGGAAATTTTATTGGGGAGGCGCGTGTATTATGCTGGGTGAGGATGATGTCAGCAAAATGATCCTAAGGTGGAGAGTAAATGGTTGATGTTTCTTCAATGAACAATTTAAGCTAAGGTGGAGAGTAAATGGTTGATGTTTCTTCAATGAACAATTTAGGGTTTTGTTTTAGTAATATTTAGAGATGAAAGAGTTTAGTTGATCCATGATATGTGTTTTATCTTTTATTTGTTTCAAGAAATATATCAATCAATCCAATTTTTTTTTCACTTGATTTTGATCGAGATGTAAATCATGTTCTTTAGTTAAAAAAATGTGCAAAAGCTTTATTTGCCTACAAACGGCAAATTAAAGAAAGGTGTTTTATAAAACTTTTCGAATAGATGAGAATAAACTTTTAAAGGGTTAGAAAAAAAAACATATGTAATTGAGAAAATCTACAAAAATAGCTTTTAATGATGTGATAAAATAAATAAAGTCTATTAAAGGTTGTGGATTATCTTATGTTAAGAGTATGGTTCCAAGAGTTTTGTTGTAACTAAATATAAATTAACACAAAGTTGCATAAATGGCCTTTGTGTTTCCAAAAAATCTTAGGTTCAAATCACGTGTGTTAGATGTTATACTATTCGAGAAATATATCAATCAATTCTGATTTTTTTTTTTCACTTGATTTATTTTTGATCGAGATGTAAATCATGTTCTTTGGTTAAAAAAATGTGCAAAAGTTTTATTTGCCTACAAACCGCAAATTAAAGAAAGGTGTTTTATAAAAATTTTCAAATAGATGAGAATAAAATTTTAAATGTTTAGAAAAAAAACATATGCAATTGAGAAAATCTATAAAAATAGCTTTTAATGATGTGACAAAATAAATAAACTCTATTAAAGGTTGTGGATGATCTTATGCTAAGAGTATGGTTCCAACAATTTCGTTGCAACTAATACAAATCAACACAAAGTTGGATAAATGGCCTTTGTGTTTCCAAAAAATCTCATGTTTAAACAAAGTGTTAAATGTTATACTATTAGATTGTCAAGAAGATATACAGTAAATCCTGGTATATAATCATAAAATACAAAATATAAAGATGTTTACATGTTCAGCGAACAAGTGATATATAATTTTTTGTTAGGTGTGAGACCAATGTATTATATGAGTTTATTTTAAAAAAAATTCTAAACATTTGACAAGTTTGGATTTATAAAAAAATGTGAGAAACATATTAAATTATTAAGATTAAAGTGTTTTTTTTTTAAATTTAAACAAATAATTCAGATAAATAAATAAAGAAAACTAATGAGCTTTTAATTTAGTAAATTTGAAATTAGAAATAAAATGTGTTAATGAAACTAATATGTTATTATTATTATATTTAAATATTATGTGAAATTTAATATAATGAAAAAACCATAAAATAATAAGTGGAAAAAAATTAAAATGAAAAAAAAACATACAATACATTAGAAATTGACAAGTAATAAAATTATTTCATTTATTAAAAAAGATATAATAATTAATTTAATATTGAAAAAATAATGAAGTCGAAAACTAAACCTACTTCATTAATTTCAGTCTCAAAAACTGAACAGTGGAACCAATACATATGCAAGTTTCTTTTAATTTAATAATATTGCCGAATAAAAAGACTTTAATTCCAAAAGAATTAAAAAACAAAAACAAAAATGCAACAAGACTTCAAGAACTTTGGAGATGCGGGGTATCGATCCCCGTACCTCTCGCATGCTAAGCGAGCGCTCTACCATCTGAGCTACATCCCCTTTTGTTGTTAAATTCTCAATATCAATAAACTTATTTAAATATATCCACATAGTTTTTATTATAAAATAAGTGCAAAAGCACTTGTTTTTGTTAAACCCAATTCATATTTTGAGTAAACAAATTGGCTTAATAGATTTAATATAAAATCACACACATATATATATATATATATATATATATATATATATATATATATTCATTCTTTGTTTACGGTTATATGCTATAATATTGTTTATTTATTATAGTGTACGATTTCTTATCGTATCATAATCTTTAGAAGTTATAAATCCACATTGTAGCTTATATGATACCCATATGACAAATAACAACAAAACGAGAAGAAAAAGTATTAAGAACGAATGATCGATCACGACAAATTTATTTTTTTATGAAAAAAAAAAGATATTTAAAGATAATTAAAGGATAGGAAAAGATAAAGGGTGTAAAATGAACATGCATAATATGCTCGCAGAAACCCCTCAAGTTCTCTCAGTTGGCAGTTATATACAAATCTTAGCTGAAAATGTATGTCATGAGCTTGAAACTAGCTCGGCTAAGTTTCTTCTATACACCTTCAACTTTTCTATATTTCAGTTACAGACCCCTAAAGATCTGTACTTATAACGATGGGCCCAAAACAAATAATGAAGGAAATTCAGTGCACTCAACGCACACATCAGCCAGTAAAATCTCTCCAAATTGTAATGGTTCAAGTTGTCGCCGGACAACCACCCAGGGTGGCCAGAGTTCCCGGTGGCGCTATTCACAACCGACACTATCACTGTACTCAAGTAGTACCCCATAGCTAACGACGCGAACGACAACGATGTGGCTAAAGATCGCATAGATATCGGAGCTTCGGTGAAGAAAAACTCGAGTAATCCGGCCAACGTGAACAAGTCTGCAGATCCCAGAAACAAATACTGAAATGCGACCCATAAAAATGAAATCGGTAGTGGTTCGTGAGTGTCGAGGCCTGATTTTGTGGCGACCCGTTTGCGTTTGATCTCAACTAGAGCTGCTACAGCCATGGCTAAAATCGAGAGGAGTAGCCCGACCCCAATTCGCTGTAAATGCGAAATCCCCATTTCCGATTTGGTGGTTTTTCTGGCGAATGGGACTATGACGTGATCGTAAATCGGTGCTAGTAAGATTATGAACACCACCGGGAAAACCGGTAGGGACGCCGGAGGAACTTTTAGGTTTCCGATCTTGGTGTTCATCGTGGAGGCTTGTTGGACGGAGAAAGTGGAGAGCTGTGCTAGGCAGCAGTTGAGCATGATTGTGCAACCGAAGATTGGAAGGACTTTGAGAACAATTTTGACCTCTTCAACTTGAAGGATCGAACATCGAAGGAAACTGCAAGCCGGTTTGTTCATCGCCGCCCGGTTGAGAAACTTGAGGCTTGACGACGGAGTTTCTGGTTCTTCCGATTGCTTCGTGGGGTTGATCGTTTGTTGTCCTCGGTTATTTGATGTCGGAGGAGAGATACTCGCGATGGCGTTGCTAGGGTTCCTCACAATGCAAGTGTTCAACATCGATGCAACTAGAACCTGATGTTCAAAATTCAAACACAACAAATTTCAAGATCGTTATTTAAAAAGTTACAATAGTCTAAGGTTAATTTCGCAACAATTGACAAAGTCAAAATTTTAATATAAAAGAATATTGGGTAAATAAAAAGATTGAATAACCTTGAATATAGTTGTTATAGGGCTTCCACGAGGAACCTTGTTGCGATAAAGGCTAGAACCAGCTAAAAAGACAGGGATCGACAAAAAAATAGTCAACATAGAGATTCCAAAACCCCATTCCCATCCTTTATTGTCTTCGATCCAAACAACAAAAGTAACAGCGATAAGAGCACCAATAGCTAGGCAAAACACAAAATAGTTGAAAAACGTTGATCTCTGTTTCCTTCCATTAACGTTGTCTTCATCAAATTGTTCTGCACCATGTGTGGGTAATGATCCCTTGATGCCACCGACGCCAAGTGCTACTAAATAAAGCCCTAAAAACAACATTGCGGCTTGACCACCATGGACTTCTTGGCATGGAGTTGTTGGGTTAGAAGGGCATTTAGGTGGTTGTAGCCATGAAGAACGAGCTTGTATTGTTAGTATTACAAGACCCTGTTCAATTCAAAATAACAGAAAGTCGACATATTGTTGGAGTGCAAATAAAACCCGACACATAACCTAAGTGTTCAAGATAGTGAATAGTAATTAAGTTTGATCATAACTTGTTCGTCATTCAAACAAATTTAACTTATTAATTCTATGTTTGACGTACCAGCTGAAAAGCTAGCTGTTAGCCGAAAAGCTAGCTGTTAGCCGAAAAGCTAACTGTTAGCTGAAAAACTAATTGTTAAATAAAAACTAGCTGATAGCTGAAAAACTAGTTGATAAAAAATAACGTTTGGTAAAACTAGCTGAAATATATAAAATTACATAAAAGAACATGTAGGAGTATGTGTTTCTATAATTAATTAAGGGATTTATTTGGAAAATTTTTAAAAAGCTTCTAAAAAGCTAGCTATTGTAAGTAACTTTTCAAAAAACTACTTTTTAGCTTGCCAAACACGACAATATAAAAAAACTCGAAAAATAAATTAGTTTATCAGCTAGCTGTGGTGATCCAAACACAACCTAACTTTTAATTGTTGACTCCAATATTGTAAAAAATCTGAATTGCTAAACCGGGTTATTTGGTTTACAATGTTTGCATCAATGTTAGTATGTTACTATGCGCTCAAGAAGTTTGACAAGTGTTTCTATTGTTCTAATGTTGCAAATATTTATTTTTATTTTATTATTATTATTATTATTATTATTATTATTATTATTATTTTAATAAAAGGTTTAAATACAAAACCACAAAAAAAATCTGGTTGTACATAAACTTATAAGCTTTTATTTTGGTACAATTGTTTTTTTTGTTAAACTGTAACATCATGTCCATGACTAATGACTTATAATAATAATTATCACATGTATTGTAGTGATAATGATGTTGTATATATGAACACTTGCATTTCTATCGTAATATCTAATTATTGTATTTATTTGGATACGTGGAGAATAAGTACAATAAATACTCAATATTTTATGGTACTACGTGTCACAAGAGTAGATGCAACA